CTCACACACACACACACACACACACACACACACACACACTCTCTCTCTCTCTCACTTTCTCATCCCTGTATACACACAGTTAACTCTCAAATCCTGCCCTGCAGACACACATTAATGCACAGGCACTTTTTCCCCTTCTCTCTGACTGACCTAGTTTCAGAACATTCCTCCTCTCTCCGACTCCAGTCCTGTTCCCCTGGGACTTCACAGTCAAAATGAGCTCCAGCCTAAGTTCACTTAGTTTATAAGTGTTTGTATTTGTGTTACAAATTATGCCTTCTTTTTGTGAGTGTTCCTGTTTTGCTTATGTGTTAGAGAACCCTTGCTTGGGCCAAAGAGTTCTCTGCATCTTTTCAGTGAACCTCTTTTACAAAAAGTAGTCCTGGCCTTCCTCCTAGTTCTCCATGTTCCAGCTGGCTTCTCCTCTCCTCTCTATTTTGCTTTTGTTCCATTACTCCTTCTTTTTCCCCCTTTCCCTCCCCCCGTGTCCATTTAAAGGGCTCTTAAAGAAACAGCAAGCACAGAGGCCCCACTTGGAATATTTGTTCTCAGTGTTTAACGTACATAGCTGACATTTTGTGGTAGAAAGTGAAGTAGTCAAATGTCATGTTCAGCTTCTAGAGGCATGCACGAATGGAACATTATAGTGCTTCAAACATGTGTGTGTTGTTCATGAGCGTTAGTGGGCGAGAGATCATTTACATACAGGTGGCATATTTGGTTGCCCCCTGTAGCCCGGAGTCATTCGATACCCCCCCCGTATTCAAATTCAACCACGAGCAAATGTTGGCATACACACACCTGGCCTTTGTCTTGTATTTGCTTGTACCATCACACTGGATGGCTTTTACACAAAGGTTGTTTAACAGCAGCTTTACTTTCTCACACCAACAACGTCCTTGTTCCCTTTTTATTTTCGACTCCCCACTCACATACCCTCCCTATCTGCTCAATTCTCTGAATGTTCCTCTCTCTCACTTTCTGTCTCTTTGTACACTATCCCAGTCGTTGGGTAAACCCTGGAAGGTCAGTGTGTGTTTGCACTTTGTGGCCTTGTCATTCCTATGTGAGCCAGACAGGCAGCCGCTCACTCACTGGGACTCTTTCTGCTCATGATCTAGGCATGTGATGATAGTTATTGTGAATAACAGAAACCTCTGAGATTCTTTCTAGATTATAATTTATTGAATCTTCTGATCACCACATCATTTACTGCGTTTCTTTAGCTTTATTTAGCCCTCATAAAACATAGCTGAGGCTCCAAGCAACCAGACTGACACACCCAACATCCCACACTCACTCTCTGTGCTCGATGTAAGACCTTTTCTCTAATTTGATCTGATAAATACTGCATGCTGCTGTAATGAAACATCTATTACTGGCTGTCATCCTTGGACAAATGCCAGACTACTTGGCAACTGGCTTTTCCTGGTTTCCACAGCTAGGTGTCAGTGCTGTCTGTAAAAGGTTGAGGCTTTTATGCACGTGGTAAAGGGTGTGTGCATGTGTGGTCACACTCCCACACAGATGCTGGTATGGGAACTGCCACAAGGAGTGCTCGTGCTCCACACAGAGAGTGAGTAAAGGGCGTAGTGTGGGGGAGGGAAGGTAGTAGAACAGCAGATGCTCTCCTGAGGATTAGACTGTGTTGTAAAGAGGGGAGGAGAGGAGAAAAGCACACGAAGAGAGAGAGAGGATGAGATAGGATAAGCCTGAGTAGCCTGTCTCACTCCAGGCCACTGTGAAAGAGAGACACCATCATGGCACATGAGGAATATAGAGATTCTTCCCCCCTTTTCTCTGCTTTGCTTTCTGCCGTAGTTGCTACTAAAATATTGCATCTTCAAATGTTATTGTGTGAACGTCCTTTAGGGGTGCTACTGCTCCACACAACATGTTGTCCTCACACAAGAGATTTAAAGAGACATCTTTAAGAGCTCATGATCCAACCCAATTACACAAATCAATCCGTCTTATGTTCTTATTTGCTGCAGCTCATGTAATACCTGGCTGTTTGTATCCTGCACTAGAGGAGTGTGTGTGGAGTGTGTGTGCAGTGTGTGTGCAGTGTGTGTGCAGTGTGTGTGCAGTGTGTGTGCAGTGTGTGTGCAGTGTGTGTGCATGCTTGTCCTACTCCCAATCCATGCATTTGTTGCACTGAGTCTTCCAACACAGTTTCAGAGGCCATTTCAAAGTTAATGGTGTATTGATTCTGCATGATAACACCATTAACTGGATATCTGTCCCTCATGTATTATCTAAAGGTGGTTTAATGCATCAAGTGTTATTCCCCCCATTATGAGCCCTTTACTATCCTCGAACAAAACAAACATTGTTAAGCTTTTTTAAAAAAAAAGCTATATGGCTTCATGAAACACTATGTGGCTTCATGTTGCCCGAGGCCACACACAAACACGAAAGAGCTCCATGCATATGCTATACAGTGCACTGGCCTAGGACATTCTAATTTTAGTCAGGAGTTCACTCTGGCTTCAATAAGACTTCTTTATTCACAGCCAGGTCATTGTGTTGGCCCTCAATCGCCTCCAGTGCATCTTCACAAATAGGTTTGTGTGTCTGTGTGCTACCACCAGTATTTTAAGCTAACCATGTGATTAGTTTGAGTGGAAATGTGCCAGATGTGCTTTCCCGGAAGGAGAAAAACATGGCCTACATCCCTCTGATCTATGTGTGCAGTTGCAGAGCATGGAAAGGGCGGGGTGTGTGTGTGTGCAGTTGCAGAGCATGGACAGGAAGGGGTGTATGTGAGCTGTGGAAGTCCTGTGGAGTGTGTGTGAGAGAGACTTTCTCTGACGTGACAGGCGAGAGAGACCACAGACCATCTGCTTCATGGCTTACTGCAGGATTAAATATTGTGTGTGTGTGTGTTTGCGCAGAGCTATGTGTTTTTTTTGTGTGTTTGGGGGTTGGGGAGGTGACAACATAAACCTTTAACCCCCAACCTCACTGCCCCCTTCTCCAGACCCCTCTGTCTCTTTTCAGGTTCAAATAGAAATAATTAAAACCATCTGCCTGAGGGCTGAGCTGTGCCTCTGAATCCTGCCCACACAACAATAATGACACAACACTCATACACTTATAGACAAAGCTGCATTGTCATGAAGTACCCCCTGATTCCTGATTTAAGATCACCACACCATGTGGATGTAAACAAACAAACAAACAAACAACAAGACCACGTGTACAAACTGTGACTGTACTCCCACACAAATACAAGGTTACTTTCTAGTCAACATCTTTTAACCATCAGCCGAACTCATTCATTCTGTGATATTGAAATGTTTATGAGGAGCTTTGGTCTCAGTGGGTGTGTCTTTCTAATAATGTTGTATGCGTGTGTTTTAGAGGTTACCTCCCTGGATGTGGAGTGTGTAGCCCCTAGTAGAGACAGTAACTGAACTAGGTCATTGCCTATCTGGGTTAATTTAGCTAATTTGCCAACATGGCTGGTAAATAACCTCCCTGCCCACGTGTGGGTGTGTGTGTTGGTGTGTCTGTGAGAACCAGTGATAGGTAGAGGGTTTAGAAAAACCACCAATCACTCCCCTGATGTTTTGTAAATGTCAGGGTTGAATTGATTTATAATAACATGGTTGTGATATCAAAGTGGCGTGTGTGAGACAGAAATACAATTTAAATGTGACTCTAGTCTACATGTTGATTTAATCCAGTGTTTCTTGATGCATTGCTGATGTTTTCATTCTATGTTTACAGACGGGGATGAAACTGGTATCATGGATGGTCTGCTGGAAGCGCTGCAGTCGGGCGCTGCCTTCAGGAGAAAGAGAGGACCACGGCAAGCAGGTACACAGGCAGAGCAGTACATCTTTGAAAAACATGCAGATGTGAAGTGCCAAGTCTTACTTGATTTAAAGATTTCTGTTTCCTTTCACACACAGTTGTGGTATGCATACTATAGTGAAACATGTGGAGCATATGAGAGTCATTTGTTCCATCTCCCTGTAACTCTGTCTCTATGTTTCTGTCAACACACAACAACATATTTGTTTGTGTTCCCCGTGTCTCTGTTCCATCTGTTGCATGGCTCAGAGACAGAGGGGGGTGGCTGTATTTCTTGGCCAGGGTTACAAGGGGGAAAAGCCAATTCACCATTAGCTGGCACAACAACAAAAGAAGAGGGAGGGTGTGGGCAGCAGGGTACTTAAGAGAGGGGCAACTGGTGGGGGTGTGGTTGTGGAATAGGAAAATATAAGAGGAATATGAATGTGGTTAGGGATAATAAACCAGAGTGTGGGTAGAGAGTTCAAGGACGTGGGATCAGTGAATAGGCAATAGGCAAAACATGTATTTAGTCCCCCTCCTCTCCAACATGTGCTTTGCTTATTGCTCTCTTGGAATGTTGACCCTCTCTGTGCAGCATGATGTATGGGTCAGGAATCTGGAAGGTTTTCCAATTCCTCTGCTGGAAAGGGAACGTTTCTGGGCTCACCTTAAATCACAATGTAACTTGTATATATTGTAGCATTAGTTTAGATCCATTGATGGTCCAATATGCAATTTCCCAATGTGTGATAAGAAAAATGGATCGAAAAAGTACTACACATTTTGCACATGATTTCATAGCCCAGCTAACTCTTACTGGTACATACAATATCTATCATAACATCTATTGAATCCCATTAAATCAACTCCAAATCCTTTTCTCCATTGTATCTTGGAACAAAAAAAAGTTGGATGGCTGTTTTTGTCATTACTAAGCCTGCCAGAAGATCATGTTCTGTGTTTGAGGACTAGTCCCAAACACAACCCCATGCTGTATCGATTTTCATTCAGGCCGCGTTGTTCAGTCTGTAAAGCTCGCAGAGACAGGCCAGGAATCTGGTTAGCTACTTATTCTGCTTTGTGTCCTACTGACAAATCCAGTTGTATTCTCTTACTGGAGACTACTAGTTCCTTATTTTGCCTTATGCAGCTTAAATGTTCCATGTACCACATTTTGTAGAAAATGGGTTTGGGTAAGACCGTGCAAATAAAAATGAGGCAGTACGAGCTGTTAGGATAGTAACTCTGTAACATGACACCATGTGTTAGGAAACTTGTGTGTAACCATGTGAGTGGGAAAGTGCCCAGTGCCCATTAACTGACAGAGAGAGAGGGAGAGGGAGCGCAAGAGAGAGCTAGTGTGTGTGTTTGTTCACATGCACTGATGTGTGGGTTGAGTATTCACACATAACAGAGGCCGGGGAAGAGTGTGTGCAACCCAATACCTTCTCAATAGAAGCCAGATGTGAAGCGGGCTCCAGAGCAGAAGAGCCCAGAGGGTAGACTGAACTTTTTCTTTCTTTTTTTTATCTTTTTCTCTGTCTCTGTCTTTCATTTGAGTTTTTCTTTGAATAACCAAATGCCTTTGGATGACATTTTTATGAAATGAAGCTCAGTGTTGTAACTGGTAGTCCAGTAAGTCACACAGGGAAAATTGCCACGTTCAGAAAACGTTCTTTAATCACAAACAGCTATGGCTCATCTCCACCAAACTGTCCAAGATAACAGTGAAAGGAGGACAAGGAGGGAGAATGGCAGCCGCAAATAGAGGCACTGTATGAAAGAAAAAGGGGGCCCATTTAGGGTTAAGTCAGTCACCCATAATGCTGTTTGGCCACCTCACAATCCTAACAGGAAATACCTTGACATGTGTGTTCGAGAGAGGGAGAGAAATGGAGAGCCTTCCTCCCTCTGCACACTTGTCTGTGGTTGGAAACATTTGGAATATAAGTGGCTGTATGAATCACATACCTCCTCCCCGTCTCCTCTTTTTCCTCGGTCTTGTCATTTTTGTTTTACTCAGCCAAAGTTCAGGGTTTTCATGGCTGATGAGGAGGGTGTGAAGCCCCGCTGTGGTTCTTAGAAAATCTCAGCTTTGACTGTTTGCATTTTGTCCTTGCTTCTTTCCAGTTACTCATTTGGCTTCCTAGACACAAAGTGCTTCACTGACAGAGTTTGACACATAGTTTGTATTCCACTGGTTGGTTGGAGTCAGAGGCCTTGAGTCAGTTGACCGAAAGTAAGAGGACGCACATCCTAACTCTGGATCTACTCAAATCTGGCAACAGTGGGGGCCACAGACTAAAAAAGTGATTCATTTTCTCCAAGTCAACAGTGTGACACAATGGTAGAAAAGGTTGCTCCTGGGTCTGATTCTAAATAAAAACATTTGGAGCTGTGAGATCTCATAAAAGTGGCATCATTTTAGTGTGATGTTTTCTCATCTCCCCCTCCCTCACTGAGCATGTGATATCATTTGTCACTAGGCCTGAGGCCGGTTGAACCAGTTGCTCATCTAATCTCAGTCTAATTACTTTCCATGCAGTCAAAATACAATTGATTTAAACTCTTGTTTTCATTGGTATCACTGATCAGATGTCACGTAATGAGTCTGCAAACACAAAACAAAGGTTCATTCACTTGTATGATCTATGAAAAAGCAAAGCAGGGAAGGAGGGGTCAGGAGTCATGCATACTCAAGTAGCAACGACATATTCTTCTTAGTTTCATACATTTTGAATAATGCATAAACTCATTGCCACGAGGTTTTACTTCATGACCAAGTTCCAAGAGTTATCACTTAGACTTTCTGGCCTAAGTTTGATCTGGCCTTTTTTTTTTTTTTTTTTTAAACACAAAAGTGATATAGAGGAGATTTGGGTAGTGGCCATTTTGGTGTGGTTCTTAAAGCATGCTTTATTTGTAATTACATTGTGAGGTATATGTTCAGGGAAATGGGTTCTTTATATCAATTCTAGTTTATGCATAGAACCACTGCAGCATGTTACATCTAATCTGATATCGCTCTATAGAGCTGGATGCTCAGACGCGTCATCAGATGGCATTTCACATTACCGTCAGACTAGGGCTGCATGATGTTGGAAAAAACTGACATTGCGATATTTTCTTCCCCTGCGATATATATATATATTGCGATATAAAAAATACAGGAATTGAAGAAAAGACGTGTGTGTGTGTGTGTGTGTGTGTGTGTGTGTGTGTGTGTGTGTGTGTGTGTGTGTGTGTGTGTGTGTGTGTGTGTGTGGTATCCTCAGCTGTCTGCCCACCCCCACTTTAAACACATGCAGACAAAACGCACACACCAGATGCTTGAATGCCGATACAAAGACACGCAGAGATGTTTGCATACCAGTACATGTAGCTAAACAGAAGTTGCAGCGTTCCAGAGGACGGTCTTGGATAGTTTCTCAAACAGTATCAAACTGGCTCTCTACCTCAGTTTGTTAGTTCTGGTCCATCTATTCCTTTTATTAGGCTAATTTGTGTGTGTATGTGTTTAAAGCAATTTAAGGGCACTTGTGTGTCGAGGAATGACGTGTCTAAACATTCACTATGGTCCCATCTGCTGGGTCACGACCCCTGTCACAATAACCAATGGCAGTAGTAACTAGTTGACAAAGCACCAATCCCAACAGAGACATGGAGATAAAAGGGACGGCAACAATAGAGGCACACGCTGGCTCTGCAGACGGTCTGCTCCTACAAAGAGACCCCCATAGAGATCTGTGCTCTCACAGATGTTCACACAAACACACATTAAGACCCACACAGACAGACACAGGAGGAGATCATTCAGACCAATAGGAGAGCACTCGTCAATCAGGTCATTACTGCAGCAGTGGTGATGTCACGTGCATACTAAACACCCATGGGACAATACATGCCAGTGAGAGTCTCATACAGTATGCACCAGTTGAGCCTATTTGGTGACATGAAAGGAATACCTCCACATCAATACTAACACGCAGACACAAGCAAACAGTGGGGCTCGATGACGTCACTCTCTCCCACAATCCTCTAGTGCAGCAGTGTGTTACGTGGTGTGTCCTGACGAGGGCGACATGAGCCCCTGCTAGGCTGGGACTGTGATGAAGGTTCAGCCTTCATCTGCAACTTCACCATCATGCCATGCTGTCATGTGACCGGGGCTTTACTGCTTCTGTACTGACACAAAGCTAAGACAATAAAGATGGCTGCTCTGAAATTGGCATCTCACCAGGCAGAGTTTATGTTCATTGGGTTGAGACTGTCTTTGATCCGAGAGGCCGTGGGTTATTCTTCGTAAATCTTAAAAAAGCAACTGAGCTAGTTCCTATTAGCTTCTCTTCTCAACGTGATCTTTCCCTCATCAGGCAGCCATTATTAAGTCTCTTGAAGAGTAATGTGACACAGATGATCTTTACACTTGACTCTCTTTGCCACTGATGGTCCCTCAAAGTGCAAACACACTCATTCAGCCTCACATTGCCGGTAAACAGACTCACAACAGTCTTTGTTGAGTCCCGACGTCTCATTTCCTACTGCTGCTCACACCAGGCTTCCTGCCAAGTGCATGGATCATTAAGTCAACATCAGAGCTAGTCTTTGGATACACATGCTCTGTATTTCCTATGTTTGTAATGCCACGTGTTAAAGGGGCACTCAAGCGATTTTTGTACTGAAATGGGACAATGTAAAAAGGCTTGAGAGAAGAAAACATTTTCAAAGTTGTAGAACCAGAGGACGAAATATCCTGACTTGTAGTCCCTATTTTAAGTAGAGTAATGGATCCTACGTTGCATCAGGGCTTTTCTTAGGGTTTAAACGGCTCCTTTTAAAGAGACATTTAACAACTGTTTTCAATCTGATTTTACACACAAGAGATCTCTAAAAGCTGCAAGACAAAAAGGTCCTCTCCAACCGTACATCAGATCACCTTCAGACATGGCGGGTGTATTGCTGTGGTCCCATGAAAGAGAAATGCTCCTAAAGAAATACAGTACAGTAGGCCAAGCAACTCGCTGAGCAGACACTGCAGTAGTTCCATTTAATCTCCAGTAGGTGGCCACGTTGCTACTGGAGCAACAAAGTGTGACCGACCCCAAAGTTATAGTCTAAGCTCTAAGGAGAAGTCTGGAGATATTCTATATTTATCTGATGAACCTATTAACACCGAACCCATACAAAAGTGCCTAGAGCTTTAGAATAGTATTTTGGATTTATTTTAATGAAAGTTTATATTCCTGGTTACCTGTTTAGCAGATTGAGGAATGTAGTGATGGATAAGATAAGACCTGAGGCCCACAGATAGCTGGGGAACCTTTGAGATGACTCACAGGTTTAAAGTTGTGGTCTTTGCATTGGGTTTGTTGACAATAACAAAACTATAGAATATTTTCATTCTTATCCTTTGTCTTTCAATGTGTTGGCTGTGACTTGTTATGCTCATTGAAAACAGTCAGATTATCTGTTTGCTTCTGAGAGTCATGTTTTTAAAGTATATTTAAATACAGAGAACATTTGCACATACATTCCCTCTTGATAATCTGCAGCTTTTCCAATGCTGCCTCTGATCCCGGCTCTTCCTCTTCTGTCTTCTCCCTCAAGAGGGAGTGGAGGAGGATGAGAGAGGAAGGAGCTGCGTTGACAGCCTTTGAAAAGCTTTTCTCTGCGGGTTGGATTTTTTTTTTAGGACAAGCTCAGCACACACACACACAAACACACATAAGATAACACCCACACTGACTCACACTCGGTTTTTGGGTCATTTGCATAATTCCTCATTAGTACATGTACGAGTGAGGGAGAGAAGTTTGGAAAGGGCCAGAAATAGATATGTCAGATATCTGTGAGAGTTCACTGAGAGAGAAAGCTTTCCCATGTATTGGTGTTTGTGAGAGATGAGGAGCGATGTGTGTGCCTCTCCAAGGAAAGTGTGTTAAGTGATACTTTGACACCCCAGCTGTCAGTGTTGATCAGTCCAGCTGAGGCTCACACAAAGAAGTCAACTGTGAACTTGAATCACCAAATCCTGCTTCTCCTCTTTCTCCCCAGACTCAATTGTGTCTTTGTCACAGCTAGTTCTGGAGACCTGTTCGGTAACTTCTGTTTTTGTGTGATATTTTCTTTGCTCGATATGAACCATGTGTCAAATATTGGTTTGTTGTTTGTGTGAACATGGTTCATTTGCATGTGTATTGCTGTTGGTTTGCATCATGACGTTGTTTGATTGATCTGTTGTTCTCAGTAACAACAGGAACACATTGCATCACTCTGTGTGTTTGTGATAACACATGTGTTCTTTACTTTTGTTAACCTTTTATTCAAAACATACACCAGGCGTCACTTAACAGCATACACAATCTCCCACTGACCTATATCATTCAAAATGGCCGCTGCTGCACAGCTGTCCTCCCACTCAGGAGAGTGACAAGTGGTATAGGATAGGTGTGTGTGTGTGTGTGTGTGTGTGTGTGTGTGTGTGTGTGAAATAACAGAGTAAGCAGGTAGAAGAATACAAACATCCTCAGGGCACAATCTGTCCCACTCGCTCTGCTTCTCTGCGTCCCTCGCCATCTCTTATCTTTCCTCACTAAATCCACTTTTTGTATGTGATGTATTCTCATTCCTCCTCTTAGTCAATCTCTCCATCCACGTTCGTCTCATTTTCATTGATCCCTGCCTCCCTAATCTTCCCCCAGCATTAATCATCCTGCTCTTCATGGCATCTTACCCTTGTTTTGCTTTTACACACTCACCCTTCCTCCATCCCACCAGTCCCACTTCCTCTTCCGCTCAATGTCTCTTATGCCTCACGTTTTTTCCCCCCTTTTCCTAATTGTTCCCACTTTGTCAAGATCAAGTTGAGTTTAATCTGACAACACACAGCGAGTTGCTCCAGATGTCACATTCATCCACACGTACAGCCACACCATTAAGCCGTTTGTGTGTCATGGTAGTGCATGTATGTGTATGTTGTAATGAAAGGGAGCATCCATTCAGAACAAAAGCCTATGGTCAGTGATATGTTGAGTACGTGTCTGCCGTTGTGATGTTGTTTGGCTAACTGACATATTTCTTGCACACACAACAGATATGTTAGTTTATGGCATGCGCTGACATACTCGAATGGACTTGTTATGCCATAAACATGACTTTCATTATTACGATCTCTCAATTATTTTATCTCCCTAACTCTCTTTCCTTTTGTTCCTTAGCCAACCACCGACGAGCTGGTCATGCAGTGACCAGCATCCTGGCCAAAGAGCTGATGCAAGAAGACACGCCTCCATCCAGCCAAGCAAAGAAGAAAAAGTCAGAGGAGAAGGAAAAGCCCAAACTAGAAGGAGCGGAGTCATTAGAGGAGTTACTGGAGGTGACTCTCTCTCGGTCCAATTAGGCCCCCACCACAGAAAGATTTGACTAAGTCATTCTTATCCAAATGCAGATGTATTTCCTAGCCATTCCAGGGGCCAATATAAATCTGAGAAAAAAAGCCCTGTGTTTTCTCCATGTCTAATCAGGCCCCTCTTTAAGGGTAGCATTGACTGTGTCTTCTGGGAGGACAGGGAGTGGCAGAGGATGAGTGCGGGGCTCTCACCTCAGCCACGACCCCCTGGATGTCCCTCATCAACCTTTGGACCTTTGCCATCGTCATAAACATGTTATTGCTTTCTTCAGCATGTGCACATATCTATTGTTGTTTGTTTCACTTGATTCACCTGTTATTCATCAAAGGGCATCTTAGGCCATTCCAAAGACTGACTCATAAGGGCTCCTTCCTTTTTTTGTGGTTATTTTCTGCAACCCACATGTAGACTGGGAATGTCTGGAATTTGGCATCCTGCAGCGTTTCCTGTGGACGTTCCAGGCCAAGACCACTTTGCGCTTTTTCACATATTTTTTAAACCTATGAAACATATCACTTTGTATTTGTCTCATATACTGTATGTTACTGTTTGTTAATGTTAATCAATTTGCTGTGTTATTGAAAAAAAAGTGCCAACCAATAGACATCCAGTCTTGTCATTTCACTCCCAGGTATCGTCCAATCACAGATTGTACTCGCGGCTGTGTGGACTCAAACAGCAGTCCTCTCCTGGGTGGATCACTGTATTGTTGTAATGAGGGAGAAGCGATTGTGTTCACTGGTTAGCACGCTTTAGTTAGATTTCACATAAAATATATAAATTTACACAATTTACACAAATGTGTCTAAGCTACCACACATGCCCACAACAGTTATATGAAGAAACTGCTTATATACATTATCTTGAACATTCCTATAAACCGCAGAGAGAAAATGTAGATTGGCGGAGAACGTTCTACCGTCAGTTAAACCAAAAGAAAACTCACTTTTTAAAGGGTGTTTCCATACAAAAGCTAGCCTGAGCAGTTTACATGCCTGTATGTGTTTGAGAATAAGTGTGTGAAGTAAGCCACCTATATTTAGTTTTATGTGCACATTCGACTTCATACATATGTGTGTTAGTGCATTTAGGTTTAAGTGTATGCGTGTTTTGCCATCTGTAATTACTGAACAGTACCAACCATGCCGTCATAAATCCTAGGTTTCATAAACCCTCCTTGTGGTCTTTCTGCTGAGGATATAGCCCACTGGAAAAATGCCCGAAAACTGCTGAGACAAGTATGTGTGTGTTTGTGTTGTTCACCCACTCTCTCTCCCACTGAACTGCAACAGTAGTTGATGAATGTCTGGCCTTGCTCTTATTTGCATTCAGTAGCCATCAGCATACATGTTGCCATGATGTTGTGGTGTAATATCTGACAGGAATCCTGAGGTGATGTCAGCTGCTCCATGCAATATGTATAACTATGCAAACACAATACTGTAGTGTGTGTGCTCCAGCTCTGATACCCAGCAAGCCTCAGGAATCTAGAAACTACCGGGTGGACTCCAGCGGTCTTTATCAAGCCACTGATTGAGATCGGTGCTTAACTGTGCCCAAGGAAGGAGGGAAATTATTGTATCTCAGAAAGTTCAGCATTTCAGAAATAAAATAATCTACACCAGCAACACCAGCTTTTATATATCTTCTATTACAATTGGAATATCTTTGGGCATGGAGGAACTGGCACTTAACATACAAATAAATGAGGTTCTTCAAGTACAGTATAGGTGTAGAGATCCTTATTCAAGTGCTAGAGCTGCGTTTCAATCCAGTAACGCTGAGAAAAGACAAGTTGCTGAGCCTCCTCTGAAGCACGGGATAAACTGGAGGCTGCTGCGTTTCATTCTGCTCGTCTCTGCAGGTGGACAGTGCCGGGCGGTTGGGTCCCAGATATTGAAAGTTTTAATAAGCACCATAATGGAGAGAAAGATTAAAATGAGAATAGGAAATAATCACTGGAATTGTTGTTTTCTAATCTGATCATTCCTATTGTTTATTAATTTTTTTAAGAGATTTTTTTCTATGTGATTTTTACAGTTGATTATTCTAATGTATTTGAATGGAGACACCATTTTTTTTTTTGCTCTGTATACAGAATAATGCACATAGTCATTCTGTTTGCTACCCAGGACTATTAAAAATGTCTTAAGTAAATAAATAGAGCGACTGGCTTATTATTTGTCTGAACGTGCACGTCATCTGTAGATGTTTTTCTGTGATCAAATGTAGTTCTCTATTTTTGCCAAAGTACATTTATTTTGAAGCAAATCATTTTCCATTTTCCCTCTTTCTGTCTCTCTCCCTCTTTCTCTCTCTCGTAAACACATTGTGCAGTAAAATACCAGATGGTTTCTGCACTCTGTGAAATGTTATTTTATTGCCAAAAGACAGCAGAAGAATGTATAAACAGTTGAATTCTTAATTTTTACTGATAAATTCCAGGAGACATTTTCCAGCATTGATAGCCAGTGTTTGACTTGAATTGTGAGCAGGTGAGGGAGAAAGAGAACACTTAATGCCTTTTGCATCTTTTCATAATTTGCATAACGAGTATTGCTGAACTCCTAAAACAAATGTACAACATCTAGCTTGATATTTCCTTAGAATGATTTAGGTTAATGCTTGTTTCGGCAAACTAACCCTCTGTCCATGACTCAGAACATTTTCCTAACATAAAATATAATCCAACCCAGTCTCATGGCATTTCGTGTTCACCAACACGATTTTTAATCTAAAGATTCGTGTTCACCAACACGATTTTCCCCTTTTTTTCGTGTTGCACAGCACGATCTTAAAAGCAATGTATTTCTACTGGTAATGTGTTTCGTGCCTGCAGCACGTCTTTTTCTCCGGTCGGGTCGTGGAAGACCGGAAGCTGTGTGGTTCATAAAAACATGTTCTTACCCAATATCAAGCCACAATTATTGCTTTTATTTTAAATCGTATAAAATGGGGCTCAGAGCCTCAGAGCCTCAGAACACTGAAATCTGTATTTTTAAAATCTTTTTTTCCTTCTAATTTGTTATTCTTTTCAAAATAACACACTGTTATTTACTCACCAATAACACACAATTATCCTTGCTTTTATTTATTGGTTTAATTCCATAATCTCGGGCTTTGTTGGCGTCCTTCAGGAACTGAATTTCAAAATAAAAATAACCGGAAACAGACGTAGGCATTTCGAGCGATTACCCAAGATCCTCAGCTATGGTTTAAGCTCGCTGATTGGATGTTTTAGCCGCAATGCATGCTGGGATTTGGTGTTTATATGATATGAAATCCGGAAACCCATCTTAAAAGAATAAAATAATACCTTAATTCCGATTGTTCTTGCTTTTCTCTTTGAAAGTCATGCACATAACGGCATTGTAAATACACGGTTCGGCTACATTACAATATTACAAATTCCTACCGTAGTTTCTTTATTTATAGAGGCCCTGATGAGAAAGACTTTGGAAAAATTGGAAGAAATGCCGCCGAACATGGAATACTTACGTGGATCCATCACAATATATCAACAATTAAACAACATCTTCATTTCTACATTCGACACAATACGTCCTTGCAGTATCAATCCAACCTTAATTCGGGACTGACTTTCTATATTTGTTGAATCCTAATTCGTCAGATAGTTATATTTACACCATAACGGTGCACCAGCTGATATAAAAGGACTTTGATTTTCTTTGAATATAGAATGTACCAATACTGAGTCTGAAATAGTATAGCAAATAGCTATAAAAATTTAAATGTGAAAACATGATAAAACTACACATCTTCAATGTTGTACATACATAAGTGTCCTACACTAATAATAAAAAATGTTATTATTAGCTCGTGTGTACCTTGTGTGGCACCGCCTAGTGTTAAAGCACGTTATTGAATATTGTTTTTTATGTATATTTGATTAAAAAAATATTAGAAGTACAATACTTTCATAGGGGGAAAGTAGAAGGGGTCTGTGATAGAAATATAGAATATAAAAAAATCAAGGAAGATACTGTAAAAGTGATCTCTACAATAAAACAGTTTTAGAGCAGGTATGTACAAAGATATTAATAAGGAGAGAGGTGGCAAACAGAAAAACGAATTAACCTTTATTTAAACAATTAATAATACCTTTAGATTAAGGTCCTCTTCTTAAATAAGAAAAAAAAACGTTGGGGGGTATCTACAGAAAATATTAAGCCTGACAAAAGTACTTAACGTCTAATATATTGCTTTCCTGCAATGTTAACTATGTTGAAGCACTTATTTTAACTGTATTATAGATATATGAATATCTCTTATTGTATGCTAAGAAGTATAAGAAATGTGCAGAATATGACAGTTTAATGGGTGAAGGTACAAACACATATTGATAGATGTCTTGTAATGTGGCTGTTGAAGGAAACCTGTGACCCAAGATTTTCATTCATTGCATACACCGTAGTTGTTGGTATATGAATGTCAATACCTTTGAAAAGTCTTGAATCCTTGAAAGGGATGTGCAAAAATAGCCATTATACATGTCTTTAATGAACTATTAGTAGAGAATAACGAGTAATGAATATACTTTATTTACTCTTTTCCATTCATGTAATTGCAGATAAATGTTTAGTCTTCTCAAGCACCAACTATCAAATATCTCCTCCTGATTGGCACTTGACAATCACCTTACCGTGCATTTTTACTCAGGTGTAAACTAAAAGTCTGATTTAAGGGTTGTCTTAATTTCACCATCATTAAATCCAGAATCTGCAAAGTACACTCCAAATAAGTGTAGTGGAGTACAAATACCAGGAGTTAGCCTCTGAAGGCTAAGTGGATGTAGAATTACAAAGTAACAATGAGCTGTCCGTGTGGTATATTAATGCTGCGTTATGGACACAACGATTTCCACCCATTTAATTAATTATATGTTTTACATTTGATAACACCAATGTGTTTTATACTGCAACTTCCTAATTGTGGAAAAACGAAAACGTTCAGTAAAGGAACGTCACCCATATGAACATTTTGCGAGACACAATAGCCAGTGTAGTTTTGGGGGGGCGCGTCGATTCCAGTTTTGGATAGTCTGCGTGGTTTCGTTCCATTCAAAAACAGTTTACGGCGTAACCTGGCGCCTGCCACTCCAAAAATCCAATCCCGGATTTCATATCATATAAACACCAAATCCCAGCATGCATTGCGGCTAAAACATCCAATCAGCGAGCTTAAACCATAGCTGAGGATCTTGGGTAATCGCTCGAAATGCCTACGTCTGTTTCCGGTTATTTTTATTTTGAAATTCAGTTCCTGAAGGACGCCAAAAAAGCCCGAGATTATGGAATTAAACCAATAAATAAAAGCAAGGATAATTGTGTGTTATTGGTGAGTAAATAACAGTGTGTTATTTTGAAAAGAATAACAAATTAGAAGGAAAAAAAGATTTAAAAATACAGATTTCAGTGTTCTGAGGCTCTGAGGCTCTGAGCCCCATTTTATACGATTTAAAATAAAAGCAATAATTGTGGCTTGATATTGGGTAAGAACATGTTTTTATGAACCACACAGCTTCCGGTCTTCCACGACCCGACCGGAGAAAAAGACGTGCTGCAGGCACGAAACACATTACCAGTAGAAATACATTGCTTTTAAGATCGTGCTGTGCAACACGAAAAAAAGGGGAAAATCGTGTTGGTGAACACGAATCTTTAGATTAAAAATCGTGTTGGTGAACACGAAATGCCATGAGACTGGGTTGGATTATATTTTATGTTAGGAAAATGTTCTGAGTCATGGACAGAGGGTTAGTTTGCCGAAACAAGCATTAACCTAAATCATTCTAAGGAAATATCAAGCTAGATGTTGTACATTTGTTTTAGGAGTTCAGCAATACTCGTTATGCAAATTATGAAAAGATGCAAAAGGCATTAAGTGTTCTCTTTCTCCCTCACCTGCTCACAATTCAAGTCAAACACTGGCTATCAATGCTGGAAAATGTCTCCTGGAATTTATCAGTAAAAATTAAGAATTCAACTGTTTATACATTCTTCTGCTGTCTTTTGGCAATAAAATAACATTTCACAGAGTGCAGAAACCATCTGGTATTTTACTGCACAATGTGTTTACGAGAGAGAGAAAGAGGGAGAGAGACAGAAAGAGTAAACCATCAGTGTTTGCATCAAAGTCCGAGCTCTCTACGTGTCTCCATTTAGGCGCGTTCACACCAAGTACTTGTTCCCACAAAAGGTTCCTGAGAACTCTTTAGTTCTCCATGAACTAAGTACATGATCGCGAGTTCAACTCACCGAAAATTAGTTCCCTGGGGGTGGATAGCAAATAATAAGCCGCTGAACGTCACTTCTTCTTCTTCTTCTGCTTTGGATTTACTGGCAGGCCGCAAACAAACTTCCGGCGTATATACTGCACGGCCCAAATCCCGCCGGAAGTGCCCCGGAGTTAGGGTCTGGCCTCAGTAGAAGCGCTGGGACTCCCAGCAGCTTCTACTGAAGCTTTCCGAGTAAAACGGCCAAGAACGCTGACACCTCCTCATCCTCCACGCTCCCATGTTTTAATTTTGAGGTTTAAATAAATTAGTCTCTCTGCGTTTCTGCGCTAGGCTAATGCTAATGCTAATAATGCAATGCGGGATAATAAAATGCGGCTCACAACATTTTTTGGAGTTTTGACGGGCTTGGCTTGCTTCCGCCAGCCCAATCAGACCAGGAACTTTTTCTCCCACCTAAAGTCCCTGCTCTCTAGCAGGGGACGGAAAAGGAGGTAAAAAAGGTTTCTAGAGACTAATTTAGTTCCCTGGGACTTTGGTGTGTGAACGCAACAAATCGTAGTTCTCAGGAACTTTGGTGGAAAAGTATTGGTGTGAACGCGCCTATTGATTCAGAAGTTTTTGATCACAACGTTGCACTAATCTCCTCCCCCTGCAGTGGTCAGCTTTCCAGAACAGGCTGGGAACACCTCTGCATCTACCCGGATACGCAGATGCACTCCCAAAATAGCTTAGAAGTTTACCCTGCCCTCAGCGTTGTTCTGCAAAGGTGAGTTGATCCCTTTATTTAAAGTAATTTCCCTTCCCACATCTCCTATATCTGTCTGATAGTCTGGATGCAGCTGGGTTCAAATCTTTGCATCTGCTTTCTGTTTAAATCCGTAAACGAAAAGCCATCAATCA